ACGGGCGAAATCCAACCTTTGTTGATTTCCAAGGAATTTCCTATGCTATTAAACATAAGGATGCCATGATCGCGACAGCGGTGAAGAAACGTCAGCTGCTCGCATATCGTCACCTGTCTCCGCGAAAATTTCTCCAAACGTCTAGTGATGATAAGCGTTTGACGCCCAAAAATATGTTGGATAGATGAAACAGATTGCATTGTGAGATAATATGATGAAAAAGGAAGGCTCGTCGGAAAAATAAGATATACTTGTGAATTTTCAAGCAACTAGCAGCAACGATGCTTGCAACAACGATGACCTACTTAAAAAGAGCTCGCTTACTTATATCGGTTATTCCAGTCCAACAGATATCTCGTCAGCTTTGTGAAAAACTGTCTGAGACACCAGAGGCAACCGCAAGCCTCCGAATCTAATGGTGAACCAGGACCGCGGAAATTCTACGCCCTTCACTATATGCAGGGCATTTCTGAAACGATCGCTCGTCAATTCAATCGTTTTGATATCTCTATTGCCCACAAAGCGGCGTCGTCATTACGCGCAACTCTTTCCCGAGTGAAAGATCCCATACTCAAAGAACAGCTGACTAGTGTCATTTATCGCATTCCGTGTGCTAACTGTTCTGGCACGTACGTGGGTCATTCAGGCCGACGACTTGGGACACGCATCCACGAACACCAGCTACCCATCGGCCGACGTGACCGTCTGTCACTCGTGCTCGCGCACGCCCTTGAGTTTTACCATCGCTTCAATTGGGACGGAACTGAAGTGGTTGCCATGGCCAACACCAAACAGGCATGAAAATTCCTCGAGGCCTGGCACTCTAACGCGACCAGAATTAACCGCCACGTAGATTTAGACGCACATTACGAAGGGATGCGCACACGGTCCACTGACGCACGTTCAAGACCTACTAATCAGTAAGAATCACCATTGCTATTGGTACTACTAATACTGCTTCTACTTCTACCACTACTACTAATACCATTCCCTTTACTACTACCGCCACTACTGCATTACTACTACTACTGCCACTATTATAGGCTGAGCCACGTTGAGTATCACTGTCTCGCCAACCTTACCCCCGAACACAACGGACGACAATTGAAAACCCGCAACACGCTAGTCCACGGGTCGGCAACCTTTTCAACTCAGAGAGCCAAGGAAGCAAATAATTGGAAATATATTTCTTTGCGGGTATAATAAGCCTCTGAATTTATTCTTTTAAATAATGCTCTTATAATACTCATTGGTAATGTGAATTCTGGTGTTGTATGGATTTGCTGATGGTTTTATAGTCTCATCGGTATATGGTGAGGTAAAGGTTCGTGCATGCGTCGAGGCTTTCATCCGTTAGACGTGATCGTAGTGTGAACCTGATATACATAATATGTGAGAATGACTGCTCACATGGATACGTAGATCCAAACAAGTTCAATACGACAATACCCACACGCTGCAGTGTGTGGTATGTGACTGGAAGCGTGTTCCAAGTTTTGATTATCAGCTGTTCTCCAGGTTGAATATTTTTAATTTCTGTCCACATATGCTTGCTTGCCCACTCCACTTTATGTCATGCGATTCTTTCCAAATCTTCATTGAATGACTTGAACTTATTCATCCACATATCTGAGGCCTTACGTTCAGCCAATTCTTCTTCGAAATCTTTAAGGGAGAGCCAGGAATATAACTTAGGTCGGCTGTGTTCAGTGAACACTCGGTTGGATGGGTGGTGTACTTAAAAAGACGAGTGTGCTCTCAAAATTCTCCAAAGCGTGCTTTAAACGACTGTAAGAGACTGGATGTGACGCCAACTAGCTGGTGGACATCAAAGTTTTGAGTGGACTCACTTACTGTGCATGCATCTTTATATTGTCTCAGATATTCAAAATGTAGTAAACGATCTGTTTCAAGATCCATGATAAACAGTTCAAGCTTGTTTTCAAATGCAAACACGGATTGTTGAAGGGATAACACCGTATTTCAATTGCCTTACAATTTAACATTATGTTAGTTCAGATGTTCGGTCATATCCACGAGATAGTAAAACATGAGGAGCCACTCAGTTTCGGCTAGCTCACGATGCTCAATGTTCTTCATTTCAAGGAACGTCCGGATTTCGTTCAGGAAAGCTGAAAAACGGCTAAGCACCTTCCCTTTTGACAATCAACGTACATTGCTGGGCAAAATCAGACAATAATAGTTATTTTCAACTTCATCCAACAGTGTTTTAAACTGCCGATCATTTGAGGCTCGGGCAACAATAAAGTTGATCACACGAATGACCAGCGACGTCACTTCGCCAAGCTGCCCGTCACATATCTGAGCACAAAGAGCCTCCTGATGTAGAATCAAATGGAAACGTAGGATGGGTCTGTTTTCATGTTCACAGAGAAGCACCACAAATCCTTTGTTTTTTTTCCACCATACACGGAGCACCATCAGTAAACACTGAGATAAGTTTATCCATAGGTAGTTCTTTTTCTTTAGCGAACTCCATGAAAGACTTGAATAAATCCTCACCCTTTATGGACCCTTTATTGGCAGAACCGCAAGACTTTCTTCGTGCAGTGTATCACCAGCAGCACATCTTGCAATCACACTGAACTGCGCCAAATGGCTTCCGCCTGTTGACTCATCCAAAGTCAGGGAAAAGAACGGCGCTGCATTTATGTCTTTCAATTGCTTTACCTTCACGTGGGTTGCCATCATCATGGTACGCTAAGGAAAAGTTCTTGCCGACAAAGGCAATCCTTGTATCCGTTTGATTATCTTGTATTTGTTCGGAAGATCACCAAAAGGTTTATTGGCTACATCCAGCAAGAACGTTTTAGCAAAATCGCCATCTGTGAATGGTTTTCCATTCCTAACTATTGTTAAAGATCCAGCAAAGT